TGTGGGAGTAGGACTCCTCCAGGGCGCGCCATAGAGGGCCGGCCCTCCCCCTCCTCCACTCCTTTATATACGGGGGAGGGGGCACCCCATAGACACACAAGTTGACATTGTTTAGCCGTGTGTGGTGCCCCCCTCCATAGTTACACACCTCGGCCATATCGTCGTAGTGCTTAGGCAAAGCCTTGCGCCGGTAACTTCATCATCACCGTCACCACGCCGTCGTAATGACGAAACTCTCCCTCGGCCTCAACTGGATCAAGAGTACGAGGGATGTCTCCGAGCTGAACGTGTGCTGAACTCGGAGGTGCCGTACGTTCGGTGGTTGGATCGGTTGGATCGCGAAGACGTTCGACTACATCAACCGCGTTAACTAAACGCTTTCGCTTTTGGTCTACGAGGGTACATGGACACACTCTCCCCTCTCGTTGCTATGCATCACATAGATATATGTTGCATGATCGTAGGAAGTTTTTTGAAATTACCGCGTTCCCCAAGAGTATATAAGTTTTCGATCAAGACAATTATAGCATGAATAATAAACCTTTATCATGATAAACGAAATATAAAAATAACAAATTTATTATTGCCTCTAGGGCATATTTCCTTCACCATATGGAGTACTCGAGGTTTTCTCAGTGGCAAAATATTTATGAGAATCTTATAATCCAGCAATCACCTTACTCTTATCCAGATGTTGTTAGTGATCTTTGGTTTCCTAATCAGAAAGCTTGGAACATCAATCTAGTCAACGCTCTGTTTCATCCTCATACTACTCAAGCTATATTGCAAACCCCTATTGTTAATACTACTAGACATGATGTGTTGGTTTGGAGACTAACCCCTGCAGGCCACCCCGAGCGTTCGATCTTTTCGGTTTGTTCGGTTCAGTCTTTTCGGCCTTCCAAAAATTCGGTCTTCCAGAATTAAAGACCGAAATAATTTCGGTCTTTTCGGTTCTTCACTATTCGGTCTTCGGTCTTTACTATTCGGTCTTTGGTCCCGACCAAACAGACCAAATTAATTTGCTACAACTAATATCAGTGTTACTTCATGTACTAGTACATTCATGTTACTTCCTGTATGGTTGTACCAATACATGTTTACATTTCACAGTAAGTAACAAAGTACCGACAGCAAGTAACAAATTACCAAAACTTGTTTACATTTGATAGCAAGTAAAAAAGATTCATACGACACAAAGTAAGAAGATATGATTCATGGTCCAACAACAAGACTCATGCATGCATAATCATTTATATTTGACAGGAAGTAATAAGATAACAAGCAGCAGCAAACAGGCAAGCAACACCACCACATAGTACTTGACAACATAGTACTTGGCATCATACAAATCAAGTTCAGTACATGATTTCAATGCAACGGCAAACAACGAACATAAGATTCCACATAAGTTCAACACTTGACATAAGCAGCAAACCACATAGTACTTGACATCAACACAGTACTCCCACTCTCAGTTCTCAATTCTCAAATCTGGTCACAAATTACAAGCACAAGATAATGAGAATAGCACACATTCCACATGATTTCAGTTCAACCATGAGTGGATGTGGATCTCACTTTGTTGGTCTACTTGGCCATGGAAGAAGCAACAACACCACCATTGACCTTGCGCTTTCGCTTCACCTTGTCACCAAATTCTTCAATCAACTATGCAACAAGTAGATTCAACCAAATTCATAATCTTAGTGATGGTAAGATCTTGTGCTAGTCCATTTGTAATCTACTAAAGTTGACAATTAATGCATACAAACTTCTCCATACATTGGTTTTGTACAAAAGTTACTACTGATTGCTTTACCTTTTTCTACTAAAGTTGACAAGTCATGCATATATATTAGTATGTCGTGCATATTAGTAATCTGCTAGTGTGTGATTGGTTTGGTACAAGTAATCTGCTATCATGTATGGAGAAGTTGGCTAATTGATTTACCTTTTTCTAACTCTTCTAATTCTTCCAAGTTCTCCTTGACATCGATAGGATTTGTTGACCCTGCCAGTCTTGCGTACAAACTAAAGCTTGTACCATAAATGGAGTTAGAGATGTCCTAAAGTCATCAAGTATGTGTCCACTTGTGGTAAAGGCTGACTCGGAAGCCACCGTTGTAATGGGGATAGCAAGAATATCACGAGCCATATTTGCCAAGATTGGGGACCTAGATGAATTCTCTTTCCACCATCCTAGGATGTCAAATTTTTTTGTCAGGGTCTTCAGAGTCTTCGGCAAGGTATTTTTCAAGCTCAGATTTACTACTTGCACTTCCTCCACTATTATTTTGCCTCAACCTGCTTGCAATTAGTTGCTTCATCATACTTGCTCCTCCTCCTTCTAATGGTACTTGGCTATAGACTGGTGTTATTGGTTCCGGTGTAGTTAATCTTACTCGGTATTCTTCAAACAACTCACGAACACATTTCTTAACAGCAAACCACACCTTCTCTCCACACTCAGCACCAAAAATTTCCAAAGTAGTCAGCCTAGTGAAATCAGATAGCTTGTACCTTGGATCAAGAGCTGCAGCAACGAAAATTAGCAAGTTGAGATTTTCCTTCTCCTTCTCCTTCTCCTTCTCCTTCTCCTTCTTCTTCCCTTTCCCTGTTTCATTCACAATAGGACCTTGCTCCTCCAACTTTTCATTCTCATGCCAAGACCCCCAATATTTATCAAACTTTTCTTTCATCCTCTCTACCATAGCTTTTTGCAAAGGATTTGTACTGCTCATCCAATTTTGAACCAAGATGTGTACATTGCCAACCTCGAAAAGAAAGTTGTTAGAAGTGACATGAAGTGAGGATGACACACGAACGATAAGATTATAGAAGTGCCCAAGAAAGGCAGCCATTTTCCTAGCAATTTCCCAATCCATCTCATCTGGATACCCAAATCCTCCTTTTTCTTCAGACAAGTCTAACGCATACAATGGTTCATCTTCACAATACCTTGTAAACACCTTTGCATAGATGATGGCAGCCTTCAACATTATGTAAGTTGAGTTCCAATGAGTGCATACATCTAGGTTCAAGAATGCCTTGCTCTGAACCTTCTCTTCCAATTCTAGCTCCTTGAATTTTACCAACCGAGAAGTCCCATTCTTGATGTATTGCATAGCAGCTCAGACACGTTCGATTGAAAGTTCAACTTCTTTCAGGCCATCTTGTACAATAAGGTTGACAATATGTGCTGCGCATCTCATATGCAGAAACTTTCCATCAGCTATGCTAGTCTTAGCATCAACCAAACACTTTCTCAAGTGAACAATGCAGCCATCATTATTGCTCGCATTATCCACGGTGACTGTCATAACTCTTTTTAACCCCCATTCCATCAATCATATTTGCAAGTTCTTCCCAAGATCCTTCCCCTTGTGGCCCTTCACCATGATGAAATTGATAATCTTCTTATGATATTTCCAATGTTCATCAATGAAGTGTGCAGTCACTACCATATAGTCATCTTGCTGCTGAGAAGTCTAACAATCCGTGGTTACACACACACTTCCACAATTGTCTTTGAAACACTTTTTCAACTTGGACTTCTCATCTAGATAAATTTTGACAGTGTCCCTGGTACAAGTTCTTCTTGGTGGTGGACTAAAGCGGGGGCAAGCAACTGTAACGAACTTTCTGAATCCAGATTTCTCACCAAATGCAAAAGGTAGCTCATCCTCTATGACCATTACAGCAAATGCCTTCCTAACTGCCTCCGCATCATATCTCCAAGTGCTGATGACATCTCCTCGAGTTGCTTGCAAAGTGGTCTGATTTGGATCCAATTTCCTATCCGGATTGCACTTGCATATACCGAAGTGCCTGCGCATTGCTGTTGTCCCATTTCATGTTGTAGTAGCTTGAATTGGTCGGTCACAATATTTGCACATTCCTTCCTTCACTAACCCCTTATCATCAAAACCTTTGGTGAAATGCTCCCAGATTTGTGATCTTGAGGCCATATGCTTCTGTCCTTTTGGCTTGTCATCTCGAGTAGCTTCTATATTGGCACCTTCGACAATATTTGGTTCGGCATCTTCATCTTCAATGATACTATGTAAGACGGACTCGTCACCTCCTATTGCGGCAACTGCTTCTGCATCCGCCTCTTCCTCTATACTCATAAATGTGTCATCTTTCTCGTTCAACTCATCATGTTCAGATTCCGATATAGAAAACATCTACAAAAAAGAGAGGAGATTAGTCTGTCAAACAACATTGACATGAGCATACAATCAAGTCCTCCAAATATGTAAAACATTTCAGATAATCTATTTTTTCACAGCTAATAAATGACATTGGTCTGTTTGGTATCCTCTCTACATAGTAACCATTCCAAATCAACATGAAAATAGCATGGTACACTCTGCCATGAACATAGAAACCAACAAAAAGCTATTAAGCATTCCAACAGCAACACCTACAAGGCTACAACTACAAGGAAGCACTACATCTACTTGAATCTGAACATCACAAAAGCTGAACATCATAGAACATGAACAATATATTGATGCACTTAAATGAAAAACAATTTGTACATCACATATGCACACCAGGAGACGTAGTAGCTTGGTCACCTTCAGTTGCGAGGTTGAGCACCAGAAGAGGACAGAAGGCGGCGAGCCGGCGACCGGCATGGAAGAGGACGAGTGGTGCGGTGGTGGTGATGAACAGCGGCAGCCAGCTGCTACACCGGCGGTGGATGGACGTGCCACAAACGGTCGAACAAGCAGGAGGGTCGGGGTTGGCGGCCTGCCGCACAGCAGCACGGGGCATGGCGGCACGGGGCACCAGTCGCCACCTGTCCCTGTCCGGGCCGTGGCTCGGGGTGCAGTTCTTCATCGGTCGCTGAAGCGCGGGCGATGTGTGCCTTGTTGCGGCAGTCGTCATGGCTCACGGCTCACTGGGCATCGGGCCAGAGCGGCGACCGGTAGGTGGCGGCTAGGGTTCGTTGAGGGGGAGAAAAGAGGAGGCGAGTGAAGCGGCAGGCGGCGGCTAGGTTTCCTGTGTCTGTGTCGAGGGGCACGGCGGCTCGGTCTCTGAGGTGATGTGAGGACGGGAGCTTGGGCTTGCTAGATGGGCTTTAGGTTAACAAATATCTTGCACGGTTGGGCTATTCGGTCTATATGGGCTGTTCGGTCCTCAATACATCACGGCCGAACAGACCATAATTAGTTCGGTCTTAGCATTCTGCAGACCGTTTTTTATTTGGTCTTTTCGGTTTCGGTCTATTCGGGTTAGGTCTCGGTCTTTTCGGTTTCGGTCTTCGATTTTTATGCCCGGGGCGACCTGCAGGTGACCACTCTTCGAAAAGTGCCTAGAAGCACTGCTTCAATAATCTACCAGCAAATCAGAGACCAAAATCTATTCCAATGCAGATTGTAAATCTTCTCAATCAGGTTTGAAGGGACAAACTCATGGAGCCAAGAGTTCAAACCTTTGCATGGAGGCTTCTTCGCCGAGCACTTCCAATGGGTAAGCGTGCAAGTAAGTTCTCGAAACATATTAGTGATAATTGTACTAGATGTGGCAACCAAGAGGATGAAATGCACATGCTTTTTCTAGGGCCCGTCTCAAAGGCTGCTTGGTTCTCATCTTCTTGGTATATTAGAACAGAAGCTTTTGCTGAACATAACCATTCCATTCCACAAATGATTAAGGTTTTACTGAATGCGGCTCATCCCCGCATCAATATAACTAGTGCATTCACTTTCTTGTGGTGCCTTTGGAAAGCACGAAATGATGCCCAAAGCTTGAGGAGGTTATGGCAGGACAAAATCAACACTCAACAATTGTTGTAGTACAACAACCTTTAACCACACAAGCACCAGCTTTACTTGCAGGTCAAGGAATCTTCCGCGACGCGGCTTGGACAAATGAGGCAAGTATGCAACATTCTCTAGCAGGTATTGGTGTGATCATCCAACTTGGAGGAAATGGTCACTGTCAGCAGCTGCATGTTTCGGCCATGCCTCCCCCGGTGTCATCTTCTCTCCAAGCTGAAGCATATGGCTTACTCTTGGCCACAATGATAGCAGATACTCTCCACATCCCGAAACCACAGTACTACACCGATTGTTTGGTACTTGCATCAGCAGCAGTAACAAGTTCCATATTCAAATACACGTCACTGGAACATAAGGCCCATTATTGCTTCTATTAAGCGTTGTCATCTTTTGTTCGCACAGGTGTTTTAATGTTAAAGCGCATCATCAAGTAAAGTTAGCGATCAAAAATAAAAATAGGCATGTAGTTCTCCGGCGTCTCTTTTCAGAAACATGACCTTGTACTGCAAGAGATGCTCTCGCCAAAGTGTGAGACCTTCCACACTATTCTCTGTAAAATGTTGTTAATGGAATAATAACTGTTTTTTTTTGCGGGGAAAAATAACTGTTGTTGTTCAAAAAAAAAATGAAAAGTCGACAAACTTAGTGCCAATTTTTTTTTCGCTCACGCTAATTCAAAAAGAGCAACATGTCCCTAAAAAAAAGAGCAACAACATGCAAATCCTTTTTTTTAGAATAACAACATGCAAATCTTATTCCTCCGTCAGTTGCATCGTGGATACAGGTTCGTCAGGCACGGTTCCACGGAAGCATCCTGTGGAGATGGCCACTGCTCCCGCTAGCCCTCCTCTCCATCTCGAGGAACTGGCCGAGCGACGGCGCCGCGCCGCCACCGTTCTCCAGGTGGCTCCGGAGGCAGAGCGAGAGCAGCAGCGCCCGCAGCTTGCCGCTCCTGCTCGCCCTCTCGCCCCGGCGCCTGCTGCGCCGGCTCTCCATGGCGTCCACCAGGCCGATCAGGGCCGCCAGCGTGATGCCGCCGCCGCCGCCGCCGCCGCCAGCGCGCGGCAAAGACCATGCCGACTGCAGCAAACAAAGTAGAAGCAGGAGCATCAAGTCCAACTGCTGGCTTGAAATGCGACTGTTGCATTGCAGGTAGTGGTAAGTTGGAGTTGCTCGATTCTGACCTCTGTGTCCAGATCAGAGGAAGCGACGGACGAGACGCAGTGGGACGGGGTGAATGCCGCGGTGGAGGAGGAGGAGCCGAGGCTCCTGACCGCTCCGGCTCCCGGATTCAGGGCGCCCAGTCCAAGAGGCCAGCCGTCCTGCCACATCTCCCAGTCAAGAATCATAAATTTGTCACTATCTTTCGTAGTACTACCGAACAGAGGAAGGTTAGTGCAAAGTGTAAGGAAAACTGGGAACTGTAAGTAGGACAAATCTTAGGCAGGCGCACCTCATGGGCCATGAGCAGCGCAGAGCTCTCCGTATCAAGAGCCGGAGAAGATCAGATCACCAGTAACAGTAATGAGGTGAGGAGAGATGTGTTCGAGGCTTATATGGACAAATGCAACGGTGGTAACACGTGAAAAAGCTAAACGATGGTCAGTAGAAAGGTTATTTGACTGGCCTCGAGGCAGATAAGAGATTCCAGTGCTACCGCGAGAGAGGTCTCGTCTGCAATCCAACGGCATGGACGCAGCGCATTGCCATGCCAGTCTTTGCAGTGTAGCACTTGCGGTCAAGAGGAAGGGCGAGTGTGGCAGAGGGTTCATAGGATAATCCAGGAACGCCTAGAAAGACGGTAAAGAATCATTGACGGTGTCAGCGGACCAAAAAGAGCGCCCGAAACCATGGCATCGGGAGCGGGCGTGTCAGCTGCATCATGGATCGAACTGCATGATGAACAACGGAAGGCTGAACACACTGATATTGTTCGGATTTGTTCGTTTGGGATGGCAATAGAGCAGTGTCCGTCCGGATTTGTGTATGTGAGGCTGTGTGTCCAAGACGCGGCTGCATCACATCCGCCGGAGGCTATCTATACTAAAATCAAGCATAGCAAATAGTTTCATATCTGACGTACAACCTAATGAAAATAAAAACAACATCTAATAGTCTTACAACCCAATCAAAATTTATTTGCATGAAAAGAAATTAAACCAATAGATCTACTCAATGTAAGTTCACACGTGCTCAACCAAGTAATCCTGGAGCTGCATATGAGTATGTTAATCACGTATTTCACGATGAAAGTGAACAAACTGTTGAAAGTTTGCAGGAGGCGGGTGCTCAGACTCAACATTTTCACCCTGAAAATCAAATCCTTGGTCGTAGATACTATCATCACGCTCATCCTTCACGGTCATGTTGTGCATGATCATACAAGCGGTCATCATCTGCCAAAGCTTATGAGTGCTCCATGTCAATGCAGGGTTTCGAACGATATCCCATCGTGATTGAAGCACACCAAAAGCACGCTCCACATCCTTCCTAGCACTCTCCTGCATTTGGGCAAATATCTGTCTCTTCTCTCCTCGCGGATTGGGTATGGTCTTCACAAGAGTTGACCACCGAGGATAGAGATTATCAGCTAGGTAATATCCCTTATTATAACGGTGGCCATTGATCTTAAAGTTGACCTCTAGGGAGTGGCCTTCTGCAAGCCTTGCAAACACTAGAGAAAGCTGAAGCACACTGATATCATTGTGAGAACAGGCCATGCTGAAGAAAGAATGTCATATCCACAGATCTTATGAAGCCACCGCTTCAAATATTGTCACCTTTCACATGCCCCGTGTACTGCTCCCGTCAAGTAAATGGACAGTTCTTCAACTACCAGTGCATACAATCTATACTACCAAGTATGCCCGGAAAGCCCATATAGGCATTGATCGCCAACAACCTCTCTGTATCAGTGACAGTTGGCTCTCTCGGGTACTCAGGGCCGAACACTGCCTTGCAGAAACTATACATTGAGAGGAGACATGTGGGCTCACTCATACGCACATACTCATCCCCAAGATCATTAGGAATCACATATGCAAGCATGCGAATAGGCGCGGTGCATTTGTGGTAAGAAGAGAAGTCAAACTTGCCAAGGGCATCCTCGTTGCCCTCAAAGTATGGGCCACATAGGGAAAATATCTGGTGCACCGGAGCTTGTGGTGCTACCGGTGCACCGAACTCACCTTGCGCTTCCAAAATGTTCAAAAAATTCTGATTTTTTAGCACATTCACACAACATGAATGTAGGTTGTCACAAAATTTTAAGTCAAAACTCGAAACATAACAAAAATGGTAAATTCACCACTGAATAGTACATAACATAACTTGGGCTTTAGATTTGGCTCATTATCACACTGGTCTCAAATTTGTCATTTTGTATCTAAAAAATGTTTCAAATTTTGATACAAAATTTGTGACATCGTACATTGATGTTGTGTTAATGTGCTAGATTTTTTTCAGATTTTTTAAGATGTTATATGGCATTCGGCGCACCGATAGCACCACAAGTGCGGGTGCACCAGATACATTCCTGAGTCATATCCTACCACTCTCTCCCAGATACGATTGAACATATGTCTCCTCATGCGAAATCGGCGATGAAATTGATGTGGTCTGAAGAGTGCAGCATTCTCAAAGTAATCAGCATAGAGAAGGTTGTGGCCTCTCTCCCTATTGCGGTTCAAGGCCGGAGCATGGCGGGGATTGATCCCCTGAACTGAAGCCGCTTCCTACTTATGTGGTCAAGGAAGACCAATGCAGCCACCACAAGCTCTTCATCATACAAGGATGAATCATCCGATGAACAAATAAAGTTGTGAAAGAATATCCCCGCTATCCATGGTACCTTGTGAGCAAAGCGTCAAACACCTTGTTGTCGTGGTGGAGACGCGGTCGGAAAGAGCACGTCGAGCTCCCCTTACAGACAGCAAAGCAAGGTTGGTGTTGGTGGGTGGGCACCATGCGCAATGCAACGCCCGCCAAAAGTTGTTGGGGTCGATGGGCGGCGCCGGCGACCGTAGCTTCTCTCCCTCCGGCGACAAGGAATCACGAACGCCGGCAAAAAGCTCTTCCAAAACGCAGGTGTGGGCCGGCTATGGC